TCACCCACACGCTGCTGCTGGACACGGCTGGTTCTGTCCTGGCCACAGCCACCAACTGGGACGAAATTGAAATCCAGGAGGAAACGGAGTCTGGGAGCAGCGTCACGTCAAAGATCCGGCTGCCCGTGCAGGTACGAGCAACAGGCTGGGGGGGAGGAGAGCACTGGTTCCACCCACGTGCTGCCCTGCTGGGGAGCTGTTTGGTGTCATGAGTAGAGGACAAACACTCTCTGGTGCTCTTTGAGATACTCACTTCATAAGGACAGAGGTCACAGGAAGGAAACAGATCCTTGCTGCTGTTTATTCCAATGAAGAAGACTGGCCCAGATCCTGTAAAACTGAGCCAGAGAAGGGCTTAGGTCTGGTTTGAACACAGAGGTCCCAGGAGAGAGATTTCGTGGAAGTTGCATGCCCTGAAGGACAGGGCTGCAGCAGTGGGATGGTGAAATCCTAAGGGAACCAAGTGTGTGGTTTTCCTTAGGTGTGGAGGTGGTGCAGGAAGGACAAAACAGGTGGCAGTTGGGAGGGGGAGGAGGGCCAGGCCAGGAGTGAGTTCTGTGTTTGCACAGCACAGGAGGGGCTGGGCAGGGCAACAGTCTTCTGTAGTGAACCTTATCCAGTGAATTGTATTGATTCTGAGGAAAAAAGCAGCAGGATGAGAGCTTGGGATAGAGGAGAAGAGCGAGGGAGAAACAACCCCGAGGAGCAGGTGTTCAGAGCAGGGTCAGTGGTGACAGGACAGGCACAACAAGCAATTCTGTTCTCACCACACCCAAATCCCACTTCTGGTGGGACTCTGAGGGCTGCTGGAACCCAAAATCCAGGGTGTCAGTAAATCAAACCCCAGGAGATGCCTGAGCCAAGCTGTGGAGACAAAGCTTCATGGCTGCTGAGGAAGCAGGAAGCTCCCACCACCCAGCTGAAGGGACGTGGTGCTGCTAAAGCAAACAGAGCTCCCAGACCACGTGGAAGTAAACACTGTTCTCTTCCACAGCCCTCCTGGCACGTCCAGTGCCTCCTGTTCAGCCTGTGCCAGGAGGTGAACAGGGTGGGTGGCCACACTCTTCCCAAGGTGACCCTGCAGGAGCTGCTGAGGAGCTGCATGGCAGAGGTGCTCGCTGCCTACAAGAAGCTCATGGAACAGAAGCAGGAGAAGGTTCGTGGGTGGGATCTGCAGGGGGTGTGGGATGGGAGGGTGGCTGGGAATGCAGGGATGCACATGCTCCTGTCCCTTGGAACAGAAAGTGTCTGTCCATGAGAGCTGGAAAGGGGACACTCTTAAACACTCACCCAAAGCTGAGGCAGCAGGGGATCAGACACCACGTTTCACACTCACAATGGCTCGGTTCAGTTGGTTGTGTCTTGGGGCTGGTGTTTTCAAATGTTCCCCTTGGAGAGCCCTCTCTGTGCCAGGGAAGAGCCCCATTGCTGCCTGTCCTGTTTCAGAAGGTGGACACCTTCCCCCTGACCCAGACCAGAGCCCTGCAGTTGCTCTACGACCTGCGGTACCTCAGCATCATCCTGACGGCCAAGGGTGAGGAGGGGAAGCCCAGCAGGATCAAGCAGGACTCTGGGTGAGGTGCAGTTCTGGGGTTCAGATCCTTCAGCAGAACGTTGTGGGGCCCTACAACAGTCACAGGAGTTGGGCAGTGCAGGCTCCAAGCTCTGACTGCACCAACACTGAGCTCACCCTTAAAATAGGGGAGGGGTGGGACTCTGTGGCCAGGGCCTGAGGCAGCAGGTTGGTCCCCTCTCCTTGTGTACCCACTGTGTCCATGGGACACCAGGGATACCCTCAGAGGATACCCTGCAGAGAACTGTTAAGCTTCCACCCAGGAGTTAAAGCCTTGTGTGTGCTCCAGTCTGAGGCATCTTTCAGAGGAAGAGGGAGAAGGTTCCTCTGCCACAGCAGCTACTGTGGGTTGTGTAAGAGCTGCAAACCCTTCAGGCAGCTGCTGTTCCGCTGAGCAGTTCCTGTTCTGCTCAGTCACCTCAGAGAGGAAATCCTGGCTGCTTCAGAGGTGGCACCAGCAGCTGTCAGCAGGATGTCACCCCTGACAGGACCCCTCTGCTCTGCTTGCAGGATTGAGAAGGTGATCGACTTCCTGGAGGGACACATCGATCCCTTCGACTTGGACGTTTTCACTCCACACCTGAACAGCAACTTGAACCGCCTGGTCCAGAGAACATCCGTAAGGAAAAGGGCTGCAAAATACCTTTAGAAGGGCAGCTGGGGTGGCTGTAAACTGCTTAATGCCTAAAGATAACCACTGGCACTTCCTTGGAAATGGGAAGAGTATCTAATGCCAGCTGAAGATAAGAGGAGCTGGCTGAGCCGGCTGTGCCGCGTCACCGCGCGTGGAGTTGGCTCAACTTTATCTAACAGGATTCACTGGAGCCTGTGCAACACTAAGTGGCTTAAGTAGTGCTGAAACAGGCCTGGAACTCAACTGTGGGAATAATTAAAAGCAAGAGTTAGAGGGGGAAGGGAAACACTTCATGTTCAAACTTAATGCCAGTGGACTCACCGTGTTCTGTGTGATCAGCTCTGCAGGGGGCCCCCAAATTCAAACAGCTCCTCGTGCCTTTCAGGTTTCTCTTCCCCAAATACAAACAGCTCCTTCCTGCCTTCCAGGTTCTCTT